GAGGTTGCTGTGCACCTTGTGGCTTTCCCTGCATCCTCTAAGCTAGACAGATTTGGGGTTGGGGAAACGCTCTGGTCACCAGTATTAAGGAAAAGTTCAACAATGAGCCCAGTGTGTGTTTATGGTGGGATGGGGGAGAGAGAAGGCACCATCTTGTGCTTTGCCTCAGCCTAGGATGGCCCTGACTTGGTTCTTCAGCTTCTCACAGGCAGGAGAAGTTGGAATAGGCAGGGTCTGATAGGTGGTAGCAAGTAGAAACTGGGTGCCAAATTTCTAGATGTGAAACATCCTTTTCTCCTCTGTTATACAGGGCAGCTGGGAGAAATGCAACCTCATGGAGCTGCCAGCCATGCCATGGGGTTGTTCCTTGGGGGCTGCGGTTTAATTCTATGCCTTTTCATTGGGGTCTATTGCGCCTACAGCCGAGGATCCAAGAAGGAACCATTTTCTCATCATCGCCTGTATCAAGATGGATTTGATGACCCTGGTGAGTCTGGTCTTCTGGCCCTTTGGGAAGGGAAGTATGGCCTAGTGAGCTAGCATTACGAGGCAAATGAAGGGCAGCTGGTTGGACAGTGCATTGATACAAACTGCCTCCTTATGCTGTTAAGAAACAAGGTTCATTGCCTTTTGCTTACTTCAATAAAAGTGAGATATACAATATTCCCAACAACTTGTCTGGATACCAAGAGCCAGTATGGCATAGTGGTTTGTGCGCTTGGCTACAACTCTGGAGACTAGGGTTCAAATCATCACTTAGCCATTGAAACCCACTGGGTGACTTTGAGTGGTCACACTCTCTCAACTTTAGAGGAAGGCAAAGGCTAACCCCCCTCTGAACAAATCTTGCCAAGAAAACCAAGTGATGGGATTGTCTTAGGTCAGAAATGATTTGAAGGCACATAGCAACAATACAACAAACCGCCTGGAGTTGCCCAGAAGCACAATTAGTACTAAATGGACAAAGTGGCATGTTAACAATGCCAAGCCCTGTGGGTTCAAGGCCCATGCTGACACAAGAAATGGAGAGAAGTCTGCAGAGATCCCCTTTCCTTTAGGTTGCCTCATAGTTGGAGAGCACATTCTTTTTATCAAAAAGTCCCAGGTTTGATCCCTAGTTATTTCTAGACTGGTTGGAAAATTACTCTGAAAATTACTCTGAAGTGCTAATGTCAATTGCTGCAGGCATAATAGAGCTAAATGGATCACTGGTCTGACCACTGGTACACAAAATCATCATGGCTACATCACAGATATAATTACAAATGCTTAATTATGTATCATCTCCTGATCCAAATCCTCAAACCTACCTTTAAAACCAGCAGCTGCACAAAGTGATGGAGGTCTGTTTGGCTAGTGGTTATGACACATTAAGATGATGTTTACAGCCCCCTCCTGCCAGAAATCTGTGGTGTGGTGGTGAGTTGTGACAGTGTTCTTGCTTCTGATTGTTGAACTGCAGGAGGGACTGGAATCATCCTGATGCGCACTGATCAGCAATCGTACATACCACTATGGGGGTGGTGGTGTTTGTGATTGTGGCCATAGGCCATGATTGTAAACATGAATATGGAACAGTTACAAATGCGTTAAAACTAGCTTGTGCATTTATAACTGCTCAACAGGGTGCCAACCATTGCTCATTCACCTGGAAAGAATATGAAAACAAGACAGAGTGGTAGTTATTTAAATAAAATTAACATGGATTGTAAAGCATTTCTATCAGGGTGGGCTAAAATTCATTGGCAGAGCACATGCAGAAGATCCAGTGTTTTAATGTTTATGTGAAGGGCTTGGTTAGCAAGAACTTTAAGAAAGGGTACTGTTGGTCAAACAATACTTGGCTAATGTGAAGTCGTAGGCTTCCATGGCCGGCATCCATAGTTTTTTGTGGGTTTTTCGGGCTGTGTGGCCATGTTCTAGAAGAGTTTCTTTCTGACGTTTTGCCAGCATCTGTGGCTGGCATACTTGGCTAGATGGAGTAACTAAAAGTGAGGAAACTGTATGTGCCATAGGACAGTGATTCCCAATTTGGTCATCCATTTATTTTGGTCTTCAGCTTCCAGAAGCTGCAGCCATATTGGCCAACAGTCTGGAATTATGGGTGCTCCAAATCATCTGGAGGACCAATGGTTGGGAACCACTGCCATGAAGTGTGGCAATGGGGCTGAAATGGTCCTTGATTTATTTTGTGTCCTCCCACCCTCTCTTTTTTCCCAGCCCTCTTCCTGGACAATCCAAAGGATTATGACTGGTTTTTCTATGAGACTGATGGCTATGTCTACCCAATGCCCTCCCAAACCCAACCTATGCCAATTCAGACCCTCTCAGTCCCTGCTCTCAAACAACCTCCCCCTGCCCCTGAGAACCCACCAACAAAACATGGAAATCCTGAGGAAGTCCAAGATGTCAAACACTCCCAACCAAATGCCATGAAGTTGGAGTGTCTGTCCCCAGACAACCTACACCCTGGAAATTTCATCTGAGACGCTTTTCCTTTTCAGCTGACCCTAGAAATCTGGGTTACATGCAAGTTCCTTTCCCCATCTCAGTGTAGAATCCACAGGTCAGAATATGCTGAAGGTAGATCAGGATCTACTAATAGATTTTTGAATGATTTGCAGTAGATTGACAAGGGTTACTGGCATCTAACAATGACAATTTGGGGTTTTAGAGGTCTTAATTGATAAAAAAAAATCTCTGATGTAAATGTACATTTGTATCTCATAGCTTTTTATAAAACAAGATTATACATTTTTAAAAAGCGTGACTGATTTTAATCCTGCTGGCAATTTTGTGTGTGTGTAATAGGTTTACTTACTGAGCATGCATTAAAAAGCAAAACAGAGAGAAGGGAAGATCAGATAGGCCTGATTCAACAGCTACTTCCTAAAGCATATATCTTTAAGCCTGGCCACCAAAACAGAAACCATTAGAAAAGTGAAGGTTAATGAAAGAAAAAGCTCTCTCTGGATAGATTTTGGAAGAAGGCCTCAAGTGGTCTCCAGAAGTTTCCAAATGTTTTTGTTTACTATTCAAGGCTTACCTGACCTGGATGTTTTTGTTTCACACATGCATATTGCTAGTTTTCAATAAAACGTTTGTTGAAATGTTGAGATGCTCTTTCTTTTGTGGTGAAGGTAACTATTACTATTCTTTCCATGTTATTTCTACCTCTGGTACCCAATTTTCTGATAAAGAAGTAATGCCCAGAAACACATCTACTTCATTCAGCGAGTATAATAAAAACGATATAGCAAGGGTTTTTGTAATTCTCAGTGTGAACACCAGATGGAAACATGGGGATGAAGAATAAAGTTAGTCTAATGGAAAAATTAGGGAACGCTGACATTTCAGGACAAGTCTTTAGAAGGAGATGCAAGAGTTCAACTTGAAAAAGTATTGAGTGCATAGGGATGGAAATAATATTTGGAAAGATTCAAAAAGTGGTTGAAAAACATGTTTTTCAAATGTCAAGAAATCCCAATGAGAAGAATCCTGGACTGATGAGAATCTTATTATTGAACGGATGAGAATTTATTCTGCACAAAATTCCCACATAGTTGTTTTGTGCAGAAAACAGCATTTTGCACATGGAAAATAATATTTCAGTGTAAAAGTATTAATTACCAAGGAGAAAAACATGTTTTCTGCACAGAAAAAAAGCTGTAATTGGTAATTTGTCATACGTAAAATTCACAGATGGTTGATCTGTATAGAAAACAGCATTTTGTTTCTTGCTGTTTTCTATGCAAATCAACCATGTATGAATTTTACGGAGAACAAATCCCCAAGCTCACCTTTTTTTCTGCACAGAAAACAACATTTCCTATGCAGGAATTAATATTTCTGCATTGAAATATTATTTTCCATGCAGAAAATGCTGTTTTAAGCACAGAAAATGCTGTTTTCTGCACAAAACAACCATGTGCAAATTTTGCACAAATTATGTCCTGGAATGTTTATAGCCTTTGAAAACTATCAGGTTCTTAAAGGCTTTCTCACAGAGAGATGAAAATTGCTAAAATTACTTGCTGCTACCTTCAAGAAGAAAGTATCTAGAGAGATCTTGTAGCAACCTTTGAGGCTAACAGAAAGAAGTTGGCAGCATAAGCTTTCGTAGACTTAAGTCTACTTTCTCAGATGCATTTGGTTGAGAAAAAACTAAGATTTACATCCCTAGGAATGTAAATACTCCTTGCCTTTATGCATGGCATAATTAAGCAAGACTTCTTTATCTTCATCCAATGAGACTTCATGGAACGCAAGTTCACATAACTTCATTGTGATAAAAAGAAGCGCACACATAGAATTTTCTTGCTTAGTTTTGCATTTGTACACACACGCAAACACAATCGAACTTTCTTGCACCAGATTGCTAGCAGAGGGAAAGCACAGAACCAGCATCCATTGTGTAGGATTACACCGACTAGTTGGATTCCATATTGATGCAGCTCTCCTTTGCGTCATTGCCTCCTGCCTGTCCCTAGACATTGATTAAATTCCTGGCTTTCGGCTTCTTAAGCCCGACAGACGGCATCTCCTTCTTTGCCTCCCTCCCTCAGCTCCCTTCAATCTGTTCTGTCTCTCTCTTCCACCTCTTCAGGGATGGGCACAACCTCCTCCTGCATTAGATTAGAAGAACCAATGTGTTGAAGCTGTTCCAGAGCTCTGTCCTGAATAAACCCATAAGTGGCTACAGTGCCATGGTGAGATGTGCAAATGTTATGCCAGACTCTCACCAAATGCAGTTCCAGTCACAGGAACAAGGAAGTACAAAGCTCTGGCAATGGTTCATCTTGCTCTGTTTTTAAAAACCACTGTCTAAAAGTAAGAGAGGGCAAAAAAAAAAAAAAAAAAGCCCTGATACTGTTGGGCTTACATTTCCACCAATGAGAAATGAATTTGGGTTAATGTAAAATACATAGGCATTCCAATATAATCAGTGTTAAATGGGAAGAAAAAAATCAGAATAATGTTGTATATTGCCCTAGACTACTGCTGGACCCTCCAGATTGCTATTCCTAGCAGTCTTCACCATTTGTTATGCTTGTAGATACTAAAGTCTAACACTTTGCCCACTCTTGTCCTAGATAGATATGATTGGTAACACTGGCTATCTAATGCAGCAGTTCTTACATTCTCATGTAAAGTAGCATACCCTCCAATTTTTCACAGATGAAAACTGAGACATGTGGTCATGTAACATCAGAACGTGGCCACGATAGAAAAAAATATGGATGAGGAAGAATGTACAAGCTACAGCAGTTTGCTTTTGCCTGAACGTACAAGAAAGGGCAGGATTCGGCCACCTTTCCTCCCGTTAACTGAGTACAAACTACTTTTGCAGTTTGGGCTCGTTTGAAGCAACTGAAGTAAGCTGAGAAGGAAGATGGGAAGTGGGAAAAAGAGAATGCAACTGGGACATTTGAAAAAGTGAGATTAATTGGGACTGTCTCTGCCAAATCAGGACAGTTGGAAGGTATGAAGTAGGGGTACACAGAGCCCTGACATCTTATCCAGCCATAAGCTGCTCTCTATACAGCAACTGCAGCCAACAATCATCCCTCCATCATCAGATCATCTAAGTTGCAAAGAAAAAAAAAGTCTTCTGGCTTACCTGCTGGTAGCAATCTAATCTCTGATTACTGGAAGATAGGAGTGCATTGAGACGTGACAATAAAGGTGAGGGGGTGAAGAAGAGTGCTGAGAACTGTGTTTGGAGTTAGACTGTGGATTTATTTGCATTTGTATGCACTTGCA